CATAAGGGGAGCGCTGTTCAGCCAGAACCTGGGCTCACGGCTGGCGAGCACAGCGGCAGTGGTGGGAGCCTCTCCCACCCCCGTGGCAACACTAAGGAGCAGTTAGCCGAGTGGTAAGGAGCAGCGAGCAGACGGGCAGTAGGAGTGAGGGGTTCCAGACTGCAAGAGGGCTCAAGCCAGGCTGAGAGACCCTCCCTCCCCTCAGCGCACGAATTTCGTGCACTGGGCCTCTAGTTAACAATAATCACTATGTTGTACATTAGATCCCCAGAAGTTATTCATCTTATAACTAGAACTTTGTACCCTTTGACCAATATCTCTCCTATTTCCGTACCCCTGGTAACCACTATTCTAGTCTCTGTTTTTATGAATTTGGTGTTTCTATTTATTACTATTATTATTTGTTATTTGACTTTTTTTAGATTGCACATATAAATGCTATCCTATAATAGTTGTCTTTCTCTGTCTGACTTATTTCACTTAGCATAATGCCCTCAAGGTCCAGCAAGATGTCCTTTCTCATGGCTGAATATTATATATTTATATTCCACATCTTTATTCATTCATCTGTTGACCGACACTTAGCTTGTTTTCATGTCATGGCTGTTATAAATAATGCACCAATAACATGGGAGTACCAATATCTCTTCAATATCCTGTTTTCATTTCATTTGGATATATATTGAGAAGTGTGATTGCTGCATGATATGATAGTTCTAGTCCTAATTTTTTGAGGAAACTCCATACTGTTTTCCATAGTGGATGTACCAATTTATTAGTACATTCCCATCAACAGTGTACAAGTGTTCCCTTTCTCCACATCCTCGACAACACTTATTACCTGTCTTTTTTGATAATAGCCATTCTAATAGGTGAGGTGATATCTCATTGAGGTTTTGATTTGCATTTCCCTGGTGATGAGTGATGTTGAGCATCTTTCCATGTACCTGTTGGCATTTGTGTGTCATCTTTGGAAAAATATCTGTTGAGTTCCTCTGCCCATTTTTAAATAAGATTGTTTGTGTTTTTGCTTTTGAGTTGTGTGGATTCATTATATTTTGGGGGGGTATTAACCCTTATCAGATATGTGATTTGCAAATATTTTCTCCCATCTGTAGGTTGCCTTTTCATTTTATTGATCGTTTCTTTTGCTGTGAAGAAACTTTTTAATTTAATATACTCCCACATGTTTGTTTTTGCTGCCCCCCCTTTTATTTTTGCTTTATTTTAAATTACACTTTTTATTTTGAGATAATTGTAGAGTCACATGCAGTTGTAAGAAATAATACTGAGAGATCAGATGAACCCTTTCCTTAGTTTGTCCCTATGGTAATGTTTTGCAAAACTATGCACAGTATCATAGTCAGGATATTGGCATTGGTAGTCAGATAGTTCCATCATGTTGCCCTTTTATAGCCACCCTCTTATCCCCACCTCCACCTTCCCCTGACACCTGACAACCACTAATCTGTTCTCCAGTTCTATAATTTTCTCACTTAAGGAAATTATATAAGTACAATCATATAGTGTGTAACCTTTGGGATTGGCTTTGTTTTAACTCAACACAATTCTCGGTAAATTCAACCAGATTGTTGCATGAATCAGTAAGCCTTAATTTTTACTCCTGAGTAGTATTCTATGTATTTCATGGTACCACAACTTGTTTACCATCTATCAGGTGGAAGACATCTGGATTGTTTCCAGTTTTGAGCTATTAAAAAGTAACATGTTTTAAACATTCATGTACAGGGTTTTGTTTGTGTTTTTTGTTAATCCTCACCCAAGGATATTTTTTCCATTGGTTTTTAGAGAGAGTGGAAGGGAGGGAGGTAGGAGGGAGAGAGAGAGAGAGGTGAGAGAGACACATCGATTGGTTGTCTCCCACACACACCCCAACTAGGGATAGAGATCGAACCTGCAACCCAGGTACGTGCCCTTGACCGGAAATCAAATCCAGGACCTTTCGGTGCTCAGGCTGACACTCAACCAACTGAGCCAAGCTCATGTATAGCCTTTGATGTGAACAGACGTTTTCATTTATCTGGAACAAATGCCTCAGAATGCAGTTGTGGATATATGCTAGATGTGTGTTCATTTTTTAAGAAACTGCCATACTTTTCCAGGTTGGCAATACCACTTTACATTCCCCCCAGCAATATGTGAGTGGTCCAGTTTCTTCACATCCTTGTCAGCATTTGATGTCACTTTTTTATTTTAGCTGTTCTAATAGATGTTGTGATGATTAATGTTTATGTGAACTTGGCTAGGCCACAGTACCCAGATGTTTGACCATATATTATTCTGTATGTTTCTATGTAGGTAATTTTTATATGAGATTAACATTTAAATCTGTGGGACTTTGAGTTAAGCAGATTACCCTCTATAACGTGGGTGGGTCTCATCCAATCTTTAATAGAGGCTTTAATAGAAAAAGAGTGGCCTTCCTAGAAGAGGAAATTTCCAGAAGATGGATGGCCTTTGGACTTGGCTGCTACATTAACTCTTTAGCCACTCCGCAGATTTTGGACTCACTAGGCTTTATAACTCTAGAATCACATGAACCAATACCTTAACATAAATGTCTCTCTCTCTCCCTCTTTCTCTACACACATACACACACACACACACCCTGTTGGTTCTGTTTCTCTGGAGAACTCTGACTGATACGGAGGTATATTATGAGAATGAGAGTGGCTGTTGTAAATAAGGTCAGGAGAGGCCTCTGATAAGGTGACATTTGAGCAGAAGCTTGAGGGAAGCCAAACAATGAACCCTGTAAATATGGGGGAGAGACGATTGCCAGTTTTGAAAGTAGTTCTTGTTTTCATCTAGTATTATATACTTATCAGATTTGTTTGTATAGAAAATGCTTTTAAATTAAACGGATTGGCAAAAGAAAAACACTCCACCACCTGGCTCCTGGCTCCTTTCTGGTACAGTAGTTTCTCTTTGATATAATAGAAACTACCGTCTTTTCCGAGCTTTTTGTTGTTGTTGTTTATTTTTTAAAAAATACATATTTTATTGATTTTTTACAGAGAGGAAGGGAGAGGGATAAAGAGTTAGAAACATTGATAAGAGAGGAACATCGATCAGCTGCCTCCTTCACACCCCCCACTGGGGATATGCCCGAAACCAAGGTACATGCCCTTGACTGGAATCGAACCTGGGCCCCTTCAATCCGCAGGCCGATGCTCTATCCACTGAGCCAAATTGGTCAGGGCTGTTGTTGTTTATTAAATACTAGAGGCCCAGTGCACAAAAATTGATTCTGGGCCAGCTTTAGGGTCCCTCAGCCCGGCCTGTGCCCTCTCGCAGTCTGGGACCCCTCAGGGGATAACCACCTGCTGGATTCTTAGGCCTGCTCCCCGGGGGATTGGGCCTAAGCTGGCAGTCAGACATCCCTCTGGCAGCCCGGCAGCCCTGGGGGATGTCCAAT